AAAGAAAGAAACAAAGAGAAATGAACTGCTGAGGGAGGGAGGGAAAAGCACCCTCACAGAGACGGATTAACATGGTAGAAATTTCATAGGGTCTAGGAACAGGGTAACCCGCTTTCATCTGGACGCTGTTACTCGCAGGCACCCGTGGGCGAGTTACTCAGTTTTGACTCAATTCGCCGTCATTAGAGGGGGCCGGGTAGGACGCGTCGTCGGGGTTGCGAGGCTGGTGGCGGCCGAGGCGGCACAGGAGCGGCTGGCGCCGGGCGTCGTCTCTGCCACCTGCCCATTTGGGACTCTCACGCCGGACGCAGCAGCACTTCCAAGTTTGCGTGGCCTCGGGCGAGCGGATGGGACCCTAAGCGGCAGTTTCCTCACTTGCAGAGCAGGGCAGACACCGGCCCCCAACTCAGAAAGCCATTCTCTGGATGAGGTGCCCGCGTTACGGGCTCGATGGACGGATCGTCTTAGGATCGGGGCTGCCCCGGGGACTCGGTAGAGTAAGAACCCCGTGAGCGGTAGTGACCGCTGCTATTGCGTGCCCTTGGCCACGTTTCCTTTCATAACTCAGAACGTGTGCGAACCTCCGCGGTCCATCAGCGCCCGCCTCTGAGGACGCCCCGAGCTGGGCCTCAGTGAGCTCGTCCCCGCAGTGCGAGCGACCGTGGGCTCTTTCCGGGGAACAACGAATCCTGCCTTTCTTCAGTTCATATGCGCTCCCGGGATACCCCCAAACCGACACGAGAAAGCTCTGTTTGTGGGTGTGAAGTAGGCAGAGCGGTGGGTGAGAGCACAGTCGCCTGTTTGCGTGTCCGCCCACTAACCGCTTCCACGCCCGCGCTGCGATGCTGGCGGACAGGGCTTTTCCCGGGCACCAGGCGGGTGGAGAGGACTATTTGGGCCGCGCGACCCTGGTGAAGTGCTCGCCGTATACCCGGTGCGTGTTCTGTTTCCCAGGTTTCAATCTAACTTCTCAAAAAATAACCCCCAAGTAGCTTTAAAAAATATAATGATAAAATATTGAGCTGGTTCCTCCTAGGACTGCCAAAGAAATATAATAGCCCTAATAGAGCTCCTCTAGAGAAAGAATTTTAAATAGCTCTGTGCTCCCGGATTCACATAAAAGACAGACAAGATAATCTTTCAGGTGATTTAACGCTTAAGTGAGGCGTCAGCCTGCAAGGTTGTGTATATCTATGGGCTGCAAATAATTTTGGTTTTGACAGTCAAAAATGAGTGCTGTGTGGTGTTCTAACTACCTGCCTACAAAAAGGCATTTTTAGTACTAGCTTTACGGAGACAAGTTACCTGGGTCTTACAAACGGAATAAAGAATGACCGCCTCCGATTTGATCCGACCTTGAAAACAATGGCTATTTTTTAAGTCTTTGAATCTTCTGAGTGTCATCAGTTGAGAACAAAATTGTCAGTGGAATCCTTGATACAACAAAAAGGAACCAATTCATATTCAGAGAATTTCCCAAATACGTCCATACGTGCACGCACATTCTTAACTTAGGTCATTGGTATTAATAAATCACGATTGACTGGAATATTTTATTTCTTTGTTATTCAAACCATTTCATTGATTTTTCTCACTGTCCAAAGCAGTGGCTGCCCTGAGGTTGTTTATTGCTCCCCAATCCTAGACCTCTGTTTTGTTGTTTTTTTGTTTTTAAAATATTTTTTATTGATTTTGAGAGAAGGGAGAAGGTGAGAGAGGAAGGGAGAGGGGGAGAGAGAGAAATATCCATGTGAAAGCAAAGCATCGAGAGGCTGCCTCCTGCCCGCCCCCTCCTGGGGATCGACCCTGTAACCCAGGCACGTGCCCTGACCGGGAATGGAACTGATGACCTTTGGGTGTGCCGGGCGATGCCCAACCACCTGAGCCACCGTGGCCAGGGCGATGCCCAACCACCTGAGCCACCGTGGCCAGGGCGACCTCTGGGTCTTGATGGTCATGAAGAGACCAGCGGGCTAAGGTTCAGAACCCAGGAAGATCAGAAGTTCAAAGGAGATCTCGCTTACCATCACTGACAGACTGGACCCGGAAAAGGGAATTTGCCATCGGAGAGGGAACTGAGAAGGTCACATGTCTCCCTAGGGCTGGCGTCAGCAACGGAAAGAAAGGCTCCCTTGGACGCCCACGGCCAGCCGCGGGCGAGGCGGCGCTCGGGCTCCCGCCACTTGTGCGATCAGGGAAAGTGGGGACTGAGCTGGAATCGGCCCCCGGAGCCCAGGAGAAGAACCTATGACTCTCCAGGAACAACGGGGTCCGAGTTTCCAGGTTTTCTG